AATTTTTCAAAAATGTACTTTTTTGGCTTGCCGCGGGCTATGCTTGCAGTAAATAGCAAATATGGGCACGTAAATGTAAACGAGTTATAGAAGAAGAGAAAAAAGAAGATTTTTAACGGTTTTTTCGATATATCTCGAAAAGTAACAAAGCAATCGATACTTTCAAAAAATCTGTCGATAGATCTTTTTAAAACCTACAACTTTCTCATTTAAAATTTTTCAATCCGTGCTATATTTTTTTAGTTATTTTAGAAAAACCGTTTTTTTCAACTTTGCGATTTTTTTTAACCATGTTCGCCATATTGGATCGAGTTTAAAGAACAAGAAACTCAATTTAAAATTTAATTTTCTATACGGTCATATTTTTTTTGTCCAGGTAATAATTTCTGTAAGCATTTCTCTATAATGCTTGGACTAATAGAACTGTTAAATTCATCGGATTTGTAATCGGTTAATCACTAATGTGTAATCAATACTTACGCCACGTTTCTCGAATCCTCCTAGTTCAAAATAAGTTACCCTATTATTACAGAAGCGAGCTTTAAGAGCTTGCCGTTTCTTTCTCCTGTATATACTAAGATTAACACACTCTACTGGATAAATAGCTATAAGTTCGAATGTTTCTATTTCTGGGTCTATACCAGGAATATATTTGAAGTTACCAAATTCCACCGGAGGCAATACATCTGTGGCCAGTACTAATTTAGATGGTGTTAAACCTACAAAATAAGTTTCTTTCAGAAAAGTAAATGTTTTTTAAAGTTGAACAATTAAAAATTTATTTTATTTAAATGAATTTGGGATGTACCTACATAAACGCTTATTATTTTAACACAAAAGTTATTAATTACGTGACAAATAAGTGACACGTGACGTTGTAGCTGCCAACGTATTTAAGAGAATTAGAGAAATGACAAGGTACGAAGTCTTTAGAAAGCATAGTCATTGGAAATAATTACCTAAATGGACTTGTCTGATTCCCTTTCCTTCCTTTGTGGTTTGAGCAAAAGGGCTCTCAATTAAAACCATATCTTCAAAGTCGCAATACTCGGAGAAAAGTAATTTTTGAACTCTATTAACCGACATAACGTAAATTTGGTAAGGAAAAAAATACCCTCATGATAAAATATTTAAAAATATTTATTTTTACACACGCTTATGTCACATCAAAATACACATAATTGACAGTTTCTTTTACTAAACATAAACAATAACAATACAAGTTAAGCAGTTATAACTATACACAGTGAACACAATAAATATTATGTTTGGAAGAAACTTAAAGTGTATAATAAAGTTTATCTTTTTCTAAAATATAAAATGTGGAATATATTTTTTAATGAAAAAGAATGTGTATATGCTCATTTATCTTCATTTAATACTAAACTACAAAAAAATAACAAAAAAATATTAAACTTATCACATCAAATCGGCACTCAAAAGTTAGTAATTAATCAAGATAACTGTGAATAAATGCAGAGAATAAGATTAATATATTGATATTTGCACTTGGATGATGATTACTAAGAAATCTACTGTTCGAGACAAATATTACTTCTTATTGTTGAACGCTGTAGTTACGTCACTGGTAGCGGAGGTCGGTCCTTTATAACAACTGGCCTGAAAATGTGTCAATAAATATGTTATTTAGTTTAGCTATCAGTTAGATAAGGACGTGAAAATTATTACATTATTTTTTTCCGAGAATTTCAGACAGAATCAAATATCATAAGTATTACTTCCTAATAAAACAGCTTTTATCAGTGACATTATTTTGACATTACAATCACATATTTTATTTAGATAAGTTTAAATAAATTATGATTTCACGTTGTTATCTAATATCTATGTAAAAGAGTTACTGAGATGCATGCAAAATATTTTAGAAAACAGAAGACTAGAGTTAATAGTTCACATTTTAAGTTGTAAGATGGTAAACCACTTTTGAGGAATTAATGATTTAAAGTTACCAATACCAAGCTAAATCTAAACCCTAACAAGTAGTCGAAGAAGTTTTTGTAAAACTTAAAATTTCATTTTATTAATAGGGTAATACGACCAAAACAGTTTTCCATGCAAACCACATGTAAAATTTCAGGCCAAGTCGAACTTTAATTATATATATATTTTTTTGTATTATAATACTGTTAGGCCTGTGAATGTATTGATCACAGAACAGCGCCTTAGGTTTAATTCAATGCGTTGTATAGTATAGGAAAATATAGGATGTCTCAAAATTCCCACAATATTTGCGTTTTGTGACATTTGTGGGGTAAAGCGTTGCCAACGAAAAAATAAAGACAGCGTAACAGCTGACAGCAGTGGCGGCTCGTCGGGTGACGCAAGTGACGCACCGCTTCACCTAAAATTTCCGTTTGTTTGTGCAATTTAAAATTATTTTAAATTTTATATAAATCTTATAATTTAGGTACAGTTCTATATTGAAAATGTATTGTGTTTGTTTGTCTTATACGCAGAAATAAACATAATAATTCCGCGGTGAACGCCTTCTAAAAAATCATTGGCTTCGTTGAGCGCGAACTTCAACCTCGTACCGTACAACGTATACTACGCAAGTGACTCATATTGAAATTGGTATGTATCTGCTTCTCTCCGTAGCTCTCAGTACGGCGGTTGTCATGGCAACGAGGCAATGCATGTGTAAACTACGGCCTGGGAGAACGAGTGATGCAAAAGTTGAAGCAGCATTCTCATCGTCATCGCGCATCGCCTGTCTATCGTGTGTTTATACGATACGTTGCCCAGTGCACGGTTATAATGGTTCTTTATTAATATTTGTTTTATATCAATAATTTGTAGAAATGTTTCCTATACACGATCCTGTATTATTTTATTGGAAATGCCATTTTCCAGACCGAAAATTGAGGACAAAAAAGATTTTTAAATTGCGAAAGACCTGTACCTTCTCTCGATGTGGAAAAAAGGGGGAGGTCAAAAGACAAAGTGTATGTTCGGAAGTTTCGGATTGAATGGTATTCGGAGTGTAAGAGATTGTGTGGATGTGTTTATTTAAAAAAACTTTTTTGTATGCCGTGTTTAATTGCGAGTGTAAAATCGGGCGTGTGGAATAAGGAGGGATTTAACAATCCCGCTTAACATCTGTATCTGTACCTATCATTAAGTCCACGAGCCGAACTAATATTTCTATTTTTTATAAAATCTAAATGAAAATCCTTCTCGCCAACGTCAGTTTTTCGGTAATATTGCAAATGCAACTAAAATTTCCAGATTCATTTAAAGCCGTTTGACCTTGAAAATTTGAAAATTTTCGCCTGCGGCGCTTTTTTTTTCAGTCAATCAATAAATATGCTTCACCTATTCTCAATGTCACGAGCCGCCACTGCCTGACAGTTAAAATTTATTAAAAATAGAGCACTACATAAAAGAACAATATGCTTTCATTGTTGAGCAATATTTAAAAAATAATGAAGGTTTGGCAGCCACAGTTGGCAATTTTCGTACAAAATATGGTCGGAATAATTACTTAATTTCATCACTAGTGGTGCGATTAATTGGAATATTCAGGGAGGTGGGATCAATTAGTGATTTTAAACACTCTATCCGTCCTTCAAGTCGTTCAACACGAAACATCGAAACAGTTAATGAGAATGTTGCTGAGAGTCCATTTCGGCATCGTGGTCAAAAATTGGACATTTCGAGAAACTCTCTACTGCATATTTATTCTGATGAATGATTTGCATCTTTACTCTTACAAAGTTCAATTGACTCAAGAACTAAAGCGTACTGACCACGCAGACCGAAAAAAATCGTCGAATAGATATGAGGCAACAAAGAGTAGATGCTGATTTTTTGAACAAAATAGTCTTCAGCGATGAAGTCCATTTTCATCTTGACCGTTTCGTTAATCTGCAAAATTGTCGCATTTGGGGTTCAGAAAATCCATGAGTGATTGTTGAGAAACAAATCGTCGTTGCGCCTTCAAAATGCGACATGTGAACATTTTCAGCAACACATTCATTAAGTTCTGCACATTCAAAAAACGACATTAAACTGCATAATCTGGTTAAAACAGCCATCTTATTTTCTATAGAATGTCCTCGGTAAAGTAAAAATAACGTTTGTAATTTTTAAATAAAAGTCAAGAAACAGTTTTTTGTCACTGTTTGGAGCGGATTTTGGGCAATAACAGTTAATTGTGCTCACTATCGCGACATAATAATCCAGTTTTTTGTGCCTAAATTGCAAGATGTGGATGTAGATGACATGTGGTTTTAACAAGACAGTGCGACACAACAATCCAATTACCTACTGCATGAGTCATTTCCTGATCGTGTAATTTCCCGATTTGGTGATTAGACTTGGCCGCCCAAATCATGCGGTTTAACGCCGTTGAATTTCTTCTTTAGGTTTTTTTGAAGTCTAAAATTTATACCAACAAGCCCACAATCACATAAAGAAGGAAATTGACCGCTGTATGAGTGAAATTCAGCCGCATTTATGCAAAACGGTCATGGAAAAATCATGACAAATAGTCTTAAATGTTACCTCATCGGATTAATGACAATTGCAACCTACAACTTTTACTTGCAGAATAATCTAAGCCACTAGAGATAACTAATTAAATTAATTAGTAATATATATAATGTAATAATTTAGGTTTATGGTGCTTTGTTGTCAGTATAAGTATTCAAAAATCGAAATAAATCAAACTAATAAATTTCAACATGTGATTTCTCAAAGACAAAAAATCATATCGGGATAAATCCAAGTGCGTTTTAAAGAGTAAGTATAGTACTTTAAGATCCCATTTGGTTTTAGCTTAACCTCAAATATGTAAAAAAAAATCACCATTTTGTCACTTTTAGGTTAGAATATCTCGAAAACCTGAGTCAATTGAGAAATTTGGACCTTGGATTCGAATTCAGCGCCTTAAAATCCGTTTAGAAAGTATATTCGTGTTGTTGTGTTAAAATCTTGTCGGCTTATGCTTGTTCTTATTTTTATATTACTTCAATAAGTGAATAGAAAATAGCTTATAATAAACACGTTCGCAATCTTGAATTAAGTCATATGCTATAAAAAACTCATTGATATCTAAATTACTCTTGAGGGTAGTTGATATTTCACAAGTGTTTACTTTCTATATATAATGATTCTATCTTACTACTTCCAGATTTATGATCTGTCAATTCGCATTTTTCTATTTAAATAAGTTATTTATTATATATCATTATTATTTTTTCAGTTTTGTATTTCATTTAAATATTATTAAGGAATACTCAAACATGATTCTATTATTAGAGGATTAGAGGTCTCAAATTAAATACTTAGATCATACTTATGGAATTAATATCGTAGAGCTCATAACTAACTAAAATTTAACTCGGTATTGGTAGTCGTGATGAGAATTTTATAAAGGAAAGAGTAAGAATCCACCAAGAAACCATGCAATTTACCCATTATTTACAGACATACATACGATTATTCATCTTACATTTCTCCAAATGTAATACTTTTCTGTTGCGCTAATGGCTTATGATTTGACGGCGATGGTAGAGTATTCATATTGCTATTAGCACTGTTTTTCAATATGCCATTAGGAGTATCGTTTTTTTTGTCTTGGTTTATGTTTATCATAACTCGATTGCCTAAATCAAGATCTCTGGTTAAGTCGTTAGTGGACTTTGCGAAATTTTTTGAGAGGCCATTGCTTAGCGATATCCTTACCGAACCGTTACTCTGCGGTTTTATCAGAGGGCTTCCTAGTAAGTTTTCCTAGAAATAAAATACTTCTAGTAGACGTATCAAGGCGGAACGTTTGTTCATGCGATCTTTTTTTATTTTTTTTTATTCTAAAATGAGAAAATCTTGAACACACTTAATTACTGTGGCAAATTTAGTTTCAAAATGTCTCAGTTTTAATCTATGAGACTTCAGCAGATAGTACGACGAAAAATAATGGTATTTTATCATATAAACTTATTTCGAAATCTCAACCGTTTTCGAGATACAGGGTGTTAATAGCTAAAATAAAAATTAATTTGCTGTAACTATCTTCTAAAATAATAGAGGTATTTGAACTAAATTTGGTGTACGCTATATTGGGTCAAGTTTCCATAAAATGCTGTAATATCAAGACTTTTGAGCAACCAGTGGTATGGGACTATTCGACTATTTTATATAAAAAAAAAAAATAGTATGGTCCTGTGCAAAATAATAATTGATTATATTTTATGAAAATGCATGCCAATGGAAATAAAAAATGCCTTTTACATTTACAAGAACTTCAAAAGAATTATTAATTGTCATGTTTTTTAGATTTCAAGAACATTTTTTACCGCCAGTAATTTTTTTGCGGAAATATCTCCTTTTCAGTCAATAAAATTTAAAGCATAAGTAAATGTATGAAACAACTTACAAAAGATAAAACACACGAAAATTTAACTAAAAGGTTAATAACAAAATTATATAATTCAATGTTAAAAATTAAATTAACAACAGTTTAACTAACAATAAATGATTATTGCTGCTACTAACAGTATTGAGTACATAGGTGTTCAAAATGGGCACCATTTGCATCAATACATGCCCTGTGGGTTGTTGAAATATTTAATTGTATGCACTGGAGAATCCTGTCTTCTTTTAACTGGTCACATACAGTTCTTGCGACGTATAATTGATACGTGCATTCCTTTGATTTTATCTGATTTTATTTGGACTTCATAATCATAATTATGCTCCATATGGAGAAGTCCAGGGTGTTAAGGGTGCACTCGCTGTTCATGCAATAGGGTTCTGTTTGCCAGAAAGAGCAGGAACTCCATCTAATTGCACCCATATATTCCTCCTTAAGAGTAAAGGTTTAGCATCAAATAAAAATCTTACTCAAGAAATTGAAGAAAGCCTAATAAGTTGAGTTTTACTTGGAAATTAATGATTCTCTTGAAGTTTTGGTAATAATCAAATAATAATTATTGATTCGAAAGATGCTACTATATTTTTTATTTAAATTAGATGAAACTAGCGGAAATATTTCTAACAGGAATTTAAAAATAATTTGAAAGGAAAAACAGAAATCCAAAGTGCCGTAAAACAGAGACAGATATCGACAAAATTTAAGAGGCCTTTTTTGTTCCCATTGGCAAGTTTTTTTCAGAAAATATAATCAATTATTATTTTGTACAGGACCGTACTATTTTTTTTATATAAAATAGTCAAATGAGTTTCTCATAACTCCGCCGGTTGCACAAATGTCTTGATATTACAGCATTTTATGGAAACTTGACCCAATACACCAAATTTAGTTCAAATACCTCTATTATTTCAGAAGAGATTTACAGTAAACGATTTTTTTTAAATTATTAACGCCCTGCATCGAAAATGGTTGAGATTTCGAAATAAGTTTATATAACAAAGTAATATTATTTTATGTTGACTATTTGCTCCTGAAGTCTCATAGATTAAAACTGAGGCACTCCGTGTATTATGTAGGCAGTTTGAATGATGTATGTATTGGGATCTATAAGAGATAGAGTAACAGTTAAATAGGAAAGGTTTTAAACATTTCTATTATCAACTTTACTTGCTACTTGATACTTGCTTTTATCTCACTGGATTTTCGCGATAAAAAAAACAGTGGTGAATTTTCGATACTTATTGAAACTTTTCCGTTTATAAGAATCTTTAAAATGTGAAAAAATAGTGTTATAGTATGTAATCTTTTGCTAAAAATTTTACCAATCTTATGTTGACTGAAAGAGTATTTTTTTAACTTTGACCCGAATATACTTTTTCTTCAAACTATAGAAAAAAAAACGATCTTTTGTTGAAAGTAGGTATGCTTAATTAATTTTAACCTATTATTGGCACAGTTTTTATTTATTAATGTGAATTTGACCCGCAATTGTAAACAAAATTTCATTAAGGACTATTTCAGATTTTTTTTTAATTTACGAGGTCTGTTCAGAAAATAACCAAAACATATTTTTTAAACTTTATTCTTAATTTTATACATCATTGGTCTTTGTCTCCTTCAAAGTACTCTCCTCCCCTATTCACACACTTTTCCCAGCGGTATTGTAGTGTTTTCTTTTCACAGTCCTGGATAACTTAATTTGAAATGGCTTTTAAAGTTTGTGACGAATATTTTTTGATGTCATCAACAGTTTGAAAACGGCATCCTTTCAGCACTGATTTTAATTTCGGAAATAAGAAAAAAATCACTAAAAGGTCTGGCGAGGGAGGACAATTATCTGATTTTTGGCACAAAACTGATGAATTGACATAGCTGAGTGTGCGGGCGCATTGCCGTGATGTAAGAACCATGAATTGTTTAGCCACAACTCTGGTTTCTTTTTGCGGATTTTATCACGTAACCATTGTAAAACACGGTTCACTGTTTCATCTTCCATTAGAACCGAAAAAGACAGTGATCATCACTTTGACATTGAATTGAGACTGACGTGCTTTCTTGGAGCGTGAAGATCCTTTGCCAGTCTATTGTGATGATTGATCATTTGTCTCAATGTCGTAGCCGTAAAGGTTTCGTCTACCTTTATGAATCTTTGAATAAATGTTTCATCGTCATTGGATTGTTCAAGGAGTTGCCGACAAACGTCCACACGATTTTCATCAAACTAAAAACAAATGTTGCTGCAACTCTATGCACGTTCAATTTTTCAATCAAAATTTCATGGCATGACCCAATTAAGATGCTAACCTTTTCTGCAATTTCTCTGACAGTCGATTGGCGATTTGTACTCACCAGATGTTTGACTTTCTGATAGTGGGAATCATTAGTTAAAGTTAAAAATCTTCCTGGTCGAGGAGCATCTTCAATTGACTGATGACCATTTTTAAATTGTGGAAACCATTCGTAACATTGCGTACCATTTAGACTGTTTTAAAAGTTGAAACGTTTCCTTGTAAGTTTTACTCGGTTTCCAGCAAAATTTAACGTTGTATCGTTGTTCCAGAAAATCGCACATTTAAAAAATCGTCACTAACGTTGAGTGAGGAATATTATTACGTAAAGGAAAGATATCAACAATCCAATTGTGTTTATAGAGGAGGTTACGCGCAATGCAATGCCGCCAACTGCCGTGTCACTAAATATCTCCATTAGCGAGTATTTCAAAAAGTTCGGTTGTATTCCGAACAGACCTCGTTTGTAAAGTTGTCAAATTTATCAAAATATAATAATATTAATAACAAATAATATTTATTGTTTCATTCTACAAGTAACTCTTTCATATATCGCATACTGTTAGAAAGCGAAACTAAAAATACAGGAGGTAATAATAGAATTTATATTTAAAAAAAATATATGGAATGGTTAATGGTTTTTTGGAATCGAAACATTGATATTAAAATTTGAATCTACACTGAAATTTTTTGTAAAAAGATATGCCTATGTTATTACAGAAAAAAATAAAAATACTTCGGGATGGAAAATACAATTGTTTTTTTTGCAAAAGCGAAGCAGTAAAGCTATTAAGTTAATAAATTCTATTATTACCTTTCTCTATTAACTGTTTTTCTAACATATTTCCGGAGATCCATACATCATCACCTAAATGGATAATTGACATAACTTTTCGTAAACTATTGATAAGTCTAGTTAGAGATTATGAAGGTAACGGGCATAAGGGCGTACCTAGCACTCGTTCAATTATATTGAACATAGTTTATTTATTTCAACATTTGCCACAAAAGCCTTTGTAATTGTTTATAAATAGCTACTTAAAAGTAAAGGAATTATGACTGATTTATAACATATTCTGAAAATAATTGAGTAATTATTCATTTCACGTTTTTAAAACTTCAATTTATCATACTTAGTATGATAATTTTGAAACCTTAAAATTGTGATGTAAATACATAAATACGGAAATTGTAAATGTAATAATAATTTTGACATTTCGCACTAAAAATAAAACAATAAAGTAGTATATTGTGGCACTAAATTTTCATTAGGTAGTTTTGTTTTGTTATAATTATTTTGTGATACACAGGGTGAGTATAAAATGTGAAATATTGTTTTATCTTTGAAATTAGTACTTTCCACTTGATGGCGCGTTATAATTTTTCTTATCGCTTAGTTTTATTGTTATGGTAACCGATTTCATTTTTCAAGTGGCATAGAATTAATTTTTATTGCTTCTTTGAATAGATTAATATTTTCAGTATAAGGTCTGCAATTTTTTTTTGAAGTGTACCTAAAAATATACAGTATATTTTGCTTCAAAAGGTTTGATGGCTTGTATGGGACGCAACCCTGTTCCGTTGAAAACAAACATCTCCAGATTCAGATCTCTCAATCCTACGCCCAAAAAGTCAGTCAGCATTCACTACCGCAATTCATTGACTCTCGCGTTTTCAGACAAATTTGGTCCTGTGACCCCAAAAACCGCACTAAACAGTCTCGTTGTGGATGGAGATGTTATTTGACAATTATTAATATTGGGTTTTTGGAGCCACAGATGCGACAATTTCGCTTGTTGACGTAACCTTGAATGTGGAAATGAAAAAAAATTATTTTCTGCGCCAGCCTCTTGTATTTCCTTAGCAAACGTACGACATTGTACATGGTTCATCGCTTCAAATCTTGCATGGGTTGGACCTTGAAGAATATAGGCCTAGATTTTGTGCAAAAGCGGTGCATGCTAGTTTGTGAAATGCCACATTGCTGCGAACGTCTTGCAATAGACAGACCAGGATTTTCTGTGACACTTGCAGACATAACAGTCTTCGTTTGACCTGACCGACCAAGCACGGGTTGTACGTTCAAATTTAGCCACTAAGTTCACAATTGCTCTACGAGAAGGCGGTTTCCTCTGACCAAACTGATATGGATTTGTCGAACTATCTCCATGAAATTTTCACCATACTTGTAAATAATTTTTGTTACTGCTAAGCTTTGCGTTGTTTATAACTAACGCCTACCAAATACGGCAGCTCCATGTGTCACAAGTATGAAACCGTATGCAACTTAAAAATAAACTTCTTAATGGAAGACCCTTTATTTAATGTGTACTAAAAACCATACGATGTTTTAAAAAATTGAATAGTTTGATAGTTACCGTGGCACTAAAACTAATAGCGACAAGAAAAAAACTGAAAACCATATTTGCAAAAAATTTCACTTAATACATTTTATAGAAATAAATAATATATTAACAATATTTCAGATACCCACCCTAAAATAGTTTTTAGCTATGTATATGGACATTTTCTTGATTTTTATTTTAGCACTATTTAAAAGAAATTAATTAATTTTTATGTTGTGTAATAGTTATAATACAAATTTTTTAATTTAATTTACTGTGCTTGAAAACATTCTTACCATAGATTCTGTTTTCTTTCTCAAATTAGATCTATTCAATGTTTGAGTTAGCTCCGACGCGAACTGGCTAGTGATGGGTTGCTTTCCCTGGCAAATACTATCCGTTCCATTCTGGAGAAAATCTAGCCTTCCAGGTTGCCTCCTCATTGATGGATATTCTCCAATGGTAACGCTGACTGGTCTAGGCTTCTTCAAGCTTGTTACTGAGGAAACGGACCCATTGGAGGACTGAGCATTTAGTTGTCTCTTTTGAAAATATGTATTAGGTGGCTTCGGCCTAATATCTGAAGGATTGTTGATTTTAAACGATTCTAGAGACTCCATATCAACTGAGTCGCTGATGTTTTGACTAGGTTTGTTATTGGAAACGGAGGAAGATATGCTTAGTGTGTCATAGTCGGGGGTAGGACATGGAGGTGGCTGATTGTATGATGATAGGACGGAGTATTTGACTGGGATTGGAGGTGCTTTTGGCTTTGTTTTATGGGGTTTAAGAGTGTTGCTACGGGTGCTTGAGTTTGATTCGGTAGGTGACGGAAGTGTGGAGCCACATGAAGAGCCGTTTTCTAAGGGAGGCTGAAAAATATTAAAAACTGACATTAGGAGTAGCAGTAACGGATCGAATAATGAAAAAGTGACCAATTTTGGAGTAGTATCGAAACAAAAGTTTAAAATAAATGGTAAAATATGATTTTGGAAGTGTACCTTTATCAATCTGTAATTTTTAACTAAGCACATTGGAACCAACGTTTATAGGAAACGTTTTACTTATAATGACGTTGCTCTTCCACTGTTTCAGCTTGGCACCCTGTATATTGAAGAAAATTGGAGATGCTGGCATACGTATTGCAGTTTTTTTGAAGTTAGTTAACATTGACCGATCTGATTCTTTATTTATTGATAGAGCTATAAATGTGACGTTCCTACAGAACTACTCACCTAAGTACTACTTTTAGGAATGTGTTATATCTCCAAAAATATATGTCGGATAGTAGAAGATATTAAAAAAATAAATAATTTCAATTTTTCAGAAAATGAATAATAAAGGAGCTATATCCTTTTAAATGGGTAAGTTAATGTAATGTTTTTTGAGATATCTTGAAAATTATTCGTTTTCGGAAAGGTACCCTAATTTTTTGAAAATATCAGAAACAATTTACTTTCATCAAATACAAGTATTTTGTAATTTTCGGACGGTTTTATATACGAATTGGCCATGAAATAGTCATTCATGTGTTCTTCTGAACATAGACAATGTATTTGCCCTATCTAAACTATACAGGTTCCCAAAATGGTAAGTAGTAAGTAATTCGTAATAATTTCGTGTATTCTCTCCATGAAAACTGTAATGTTCCTTTCATTTCGCATATACCGATATTTCCAGCTTGAGTGTCACAAGTGGCAGTTGCTACATTTGCTTATCATGTTCAAGAAAAGAGAAGATGGGGGCTGTATACTTTAATTTCTCCATGTACCAGTTTCGAGGTTACCTATACGTTTTCTTTCATGTCATATGCGTGCAAGTAGATAAAACGTTTTATTATTTTCACGTTTCAGTTACTCCATTATGTTTTTAAAAATGGAATCGTATGCGACTGTTAGTGGCCAATTTGTTAATAATGAGGACAGTCGTAAACGAGCGAATTTAACAGGTCAAGCATGTTGTACAATAATGTTTATCAAGAAATTCAAGCGCAAAATATGGATATGTCAGTGAATGATGCCGCGGTAATATGCAGTTAATTAACAAAAGTATCTCTTACGTAAAAGTATTTATCCTGCGATAAAATATGACGAAAGAGTAAAAAGCAAACAAGTGAAAAACGTAGCATGAAAACAATTGAAATTGACAATTACCTTTAGAAAATTTCACGAATTTTATTTTAAAAATGAATTTCTATGATTAAAGGCAATCCAAACTGCAATCGCAGAAGACCAGTTATTAAAAAAATTAAAATGTGCCTAGAACAGTATACTAATAGAAAGAAAGAGAAAGAAAAAAATGGAAAAAATAATATCTAGACAAAAACGAAAATTTATTATTTTGACGAAACCTGGACATTTGAAGGACATTCCACCTCTGAAATTTGCCAAGATGTAAATATCAGCATCAGACGAGAAGCATTTTTAGAAGGATTTCCTATGCGATTGAACGCGCCCTCTGAGAAAGGACAGCGATTAATAATTATTGGACATGAATGCGAATTTTTGGATAATGGTTTTTATGTGTTTGAAATGCGACGGACAGGAGAGCGGAATTGCAGAATATATACTTTGGTAAAATAAGAAATGCATCTATCTGTATGATATTTGAATATACCATTGCAGTGAAGATTTGTAATGATATTCTGATTATAACCAAAATTGTTCTATATTTAATAATTTCTCTAAGATGCCCATGGAATCCCATTTCTTACACGCATGCCTTCCCGTCGCATGGATCTACATGTTGAGCATGAGTCGCCGTCTACAATTTTGGGATTCTAGTGTAAAACCCACAACCTTAGGAAAGCTTTGTTCATATTAGTTTTATTCATTCTATTCAACTGAACAGTCTATTTGTCGGGTTCACTATTAATTATCATTTATTTTATGAATATAATAGGAAACTATTTGTTTTTAAAATAAAAATTTTTAGAACATAAATACTTACCGGAGGGGGAGGCGGTGGTGGATTGTTCGCATTAATTTGTCTATTATTTGATGTCGGTAGGCGTTCAGAATTCTGCTCATTACATGCGAGATTCGACAGTCTCTCGGAAAGTTTCTGCGAGAGCTCTTTATGTGCTAAACGATCCTGAAACAAATGTTGTGGTTAGATATTATTTACAAATTGTCGGTAATGTACTTATTTACTAAAATCTTCCATAAAAATAAAAACCACTAACACATTAGCTCAATTTTGTTTAATCATGAGCACCCATTTCGAATTTTTTTTTATACACGGCAAAAAAATTAAGGGAGCAGAAAAATTTCCTAATTTTTTTAATGATTGTTGAAATGCTGTAATTCATGAATAATAGTCGTATTGAGAAAAAAAGAAGAGCATCTTGAAGCTAATGTTTAGTAATAGACCTGCTCCTTTAGTTTTTACAGAACCTTGACAATTCAGGAAAGGAAAACGGTTCGATCGACCAATTTCAAAATTTACAGGTGTCATGGGGATGTATTGAGCTAAAAAAACTTACAAACATAGGTACTTTACGCAATATTTGCAAAGTAGTAGTTGATTTTCCAAAACAGCAGAAAAGGTCATTTTTGCACTTTTTCAAATTACCTAATACTCTGTTATATTAAAAAAAAATCTAAAACGTACCAAAAAACCTCTGAAGAGGATTGATTCGAGTTTCCAAAACCCGATACGTTCTCTGTACGATAATTATTCATGAGATATCGATTTATTATTCGATTTATTATCGATATTATCGATTAAATAGGTGACTTTTCACTCAATAGCCGTAACTCAATGAAAAAAAAAAATCGTACAAAAAATAAAAATAATAACAAATTGAAGCCGAGGAATCATAACCCTGGCATTGAGTAGGAAAGAAAAAAAATTTTCTGAGCCCACGGACAAATTTGAAAAAAATATATGTAAAATTTTTGCCTTGCAATAATCTTTTGATTGCGCCGAGTGATACTCATAAAAAATTTTTCATCTCAAGATTTCAAAAGTAGAATCTTCAAGCTTCAAGATGCATTTATTTTTCTCTCGATACGACCATTCACGACCATTAATTCAGGAAGTTAAAGCCTTTCAAAAATCACCAAACAAATTTGGACATTTTTCTGCTCCCTTAATTTATCGTAAAAATGTCTTTATAAACAACATATTCTTGAAAATACCATCCAATTTTCAGTACACATTAAAAATTTTTATTTACATTTTTCTTTTCATCTTCGAATTTTAAATTTTTTAATGAGAACTGAAAATCGCATTAATAAAATATTGTCCTTATAATTTTTTATGAAAAATATTCACAAATTAAATGTGGAAAAGTATGAAAAATATGACTAAAGAAACGATTTTTTTTATGTTACGCATATAGTATATTCATTTAATTGTATTTTTCCTGTTGTTGGTATTAAAAATATCACTGCAGTTCTGACAAAGGCTCCAACATAACGTATAAAAATAATATATATATATATATATATATATATATATATATATACTGTGTCAAATATCTATTAATTCTTATATTCATCATTATATTTTGCAGGCTGCAACCAGATTTCTAGTTTTAGTTATAGCAAATGGATTTGAGTACATTACATTGGAAGGAAATTTTTGTCAATTTTAATGTTCTAATACTAAATGAATTAATTTGACACTGAGCTGAGTTTAGTTGAGCTCTATGTGCGTAAAATATTAGAAACCCTTCTTTTTTACAAAGTGGACTCTTTTTTATTTTCCACCATCAGCATTTCATATACAAAGAATGCTAGAAAATCTGCATATTTCTGAAGCAAAAACAGATGAAAAAAAGTTTTGTTTCTAATTAATATAGCTACGCTATGGTTAATCTATCTTTTTTATAGGAACAATATCTATTTATTTTTAGAAAGGGTACTGTGAAAACAAAATCGACAGTAATTATTACTATTAGAAGTTATACAGCGTAGGAAAGTACCGATGGTCTATCAGAAGTTACGTGAGAGCGATAAAGTAAGCCATAGAAATCCATGTGATAGACAAGGATGGCTATAATGAAGGCGTCTAATAGTCAACGCCCATTTCGCCCTTCCATAAATAAGAAGTGGATCTTATTTGTGGAAGGGCGAAACGGGCGGTGACTATGAGAGGCCTTCATTATAGCAATCCTTCTCTATCGCATGGATTTCTATGGCTTACTTTATCGCTCTCACGTAACTTCAGATAGACCATCGGTATTTTCTTACCCTGTATAGTTTGTTACAATGCTTGATGTCAAAATTAATAATAATAAAAAACCAGTTGACGAGGGAGAGTTATTTTATTTTATTGTAATTTTCTTACTACTACGCGAATAAATGTTACTACCAGATGAGGGAAAGCAGGGTATGTTTCATATACTTGCCTTTTCTTCATCCAGCAATAGCATTTTATCAGAATTTTGTATAAAAATTGTTATTCCCAATCTTCACAGTAGTTTCTATAACAAAAATTAAGTAAACCCTCTGGCTTTATGTTACGCGTTTTAATTGTAGCATTGCCTAACCTTTAGTTTCTGCAAGATTTATTTTAGAAAGATGGCAGATATCTCGGTTCTATTTGGTTTTACTTCAAACGCTTCAACAACCTTCAGTATGCAATTGTGTAAAATGATGGATAATACACCCGATATACAATAAATAGAATTTCTAATGGTAACTATATTTATTATACGCTTAACCAGTCAGGTACAATGTTAACTGAGGCGGAAGCGACAAATTTCAAAAAGAAATCTGTAAACAACGGTTATTAAATTTTACAATACTTAGTCTGAATGATTTCTATTCATTAAGGCATTCCGTCAATGAGGAAATCGGATAATTTGTCCTGTTTCTACATTTCATAAAACGAAATTTATACCTTTCTGTAAGTCTACAGAACTTACAGAACTTTTAAATGAGGTAACAATTTGGACAAGTACGAAACTTAAAACTGCAGGGTGTCTCAGTTTTAATCTGTGAGACTTCGGGAGCAGATAGTACAACGAAAAATAATGCTACTTTGTCATATAAATTTATTTCGAAATCTCAAGCATTCTCAAGATACAGGGTGTTAATAATTAAAAAAAAATCATTTACTGTAAATATCTTCTGAAATAATAGAGGTATTTGAACTAAATTTGGTGTATGTAATATTGGGTCAAGCTTCCATAAAATACTATAATATCAAGACTTTTGCGCAACCGGTGGCAGAGATATGGGAAAGTTGACCATTGACTTAATGTGTTGCAAAAAACCCTAATCTTCAAGAAGTTATAAAAGTATTTAAAGAAAAATATGCCGATTAAGAAGCTGGAGAATACTTTCCTCTCAGACTTTACGGCTATAACAAAAAGGAATTTAGGTACAGCAATGGATTGGTAACGAAAAACTTGCAGATCAATGGGGATGGAAGAAAGACAAAAATGTTCTTGTCCCTCTGACTACACTTCAAGCTTCTGCTCCAAAAGTTCTTCTTAAACTAATTTCTTGTACGTGCAAGAAAGGATGTCGGGGAGCATGTTGATGTAGAAAAGCAGGGCTCAACTGTTCTATAATTTGCTCAAATTGTGGCAATAGATATGATAACATGCCCCAATCATTGGAAGATAGTGATGACGATGAAGACACTGATACTATTTTAGAACCATCCTACTACTTATACTGCGACATACCAACATTTGCAAGTAGTACCTTTTTGTAACATTGTTTAATGACATTTAATATTTAATAAGCAATTTAATTATTCGGAAATTACACATAAAAGGTTTCAATTTTCTATTTTTCTAATTAAGCCCTTTAATGTTTTGCAAAATGATTTCTTTTTTTAAATGCAGTTTGTGGTCAATTTAATTGTAAAAAAGTTATAGCAAGGAAATATTAATAGAAAAAGAACTTTAAAACTAAGTAACATCTTTCATATTGCATTTTCCAAAAAGTGTTACAGAAAGTTGAATCATTATTTTTACGAGTAGAATCGTCCTTTTCTGGAACACCCCTTCTACTTTAGTATTTTTACTTTAAAGGTCAACAGTAATTTTCCTTCGTCCTAATGCTCATCCTTTCTCGAGTGTCAAATTATTTTTAACAAATTCACCAATAATTTTATTTCATCAAAAATTGTATACGTATGGAGTTAAAAAACTTTTTGTAATGTATCAAATCTGCATAAAATTTTTTGAGTATCCTTTATTTTCAACGATATTATAAAGGATGAATGTAGTATTTTTTTTATTCTAGTTCTCACGTACTACAGACGCTACTTGTTCTTCGTTCGTATTTGATGAAATAAATTAATAATAAGCAAGCTAAACATTGACTTGAGATGTTAGTCGCAATGCATTTCTGTTTTGTCTTTCAATGCGAACTTGGGTCGTCACAATTTGAATGTTATGAGTTTCATATTTTCATTACATTAAAAAAAAAAATTAATACATCCATGTATTTTTTAGGATGAAAATATAAGCTAGGAAAATATCCCACCTTATTTTTTTCAAATGGTTATAGTTTTAGTAATTCATTTTAAACCTTAATCGATTACAATTAATGTTTTGTGTAAAAACTACTTCAATCCAATATCCAATTTAAAGATTTATTATATAATTATATCAGACGGCAGTTTTTTAATCCACTTTGAACAATTATTGTTTAATGGAATGAATCCGTTTATTAATTGACAATTGGTTGGGATTAAAATTATCTTTATCATTTCCATATCTCTCTCTCTCTCTCTATTTACTATTCATAATTATTATTTTCACTAGTTTCTTTTACACATACCGCACCGGTTTCTATGTACGCTAGTGAAATTAAATATTTGTTTCTTAATTACTTAAAGAAGTTTCATGTTGAAAGTGCTTATTGCACATTTATCATGATAACATGATATTTTACCACAGAAGACTGCCAATTAACAGTAAGTTGGTAAAAATCGTGGAATAATTTCCCTCATTCTGGCTGAGTTCAAAATGCTGAATAAAGAACAGAAACGGTACAATATTATGAACTTAATTTAATTGGTGTACCTAACCACCAAAACCAGAAAAATTCAACTGGAACAATTAGCTCTGCAATAGCACTAAAGAATTTACATTACATGATTTTAAGTTCCATAAAAATAACGCA